CCTGAACCGGGGTGGTGTATGTAACAACGTCGGTTCAATGATCATCTTCCTTCTAATGTGTTGTCTAGAATCCCTTAATGCAGGTTTACCGATCCGGATGTTAACAGAGATCATGCACTCAAAAGTAAAATTACCAGGCTTTCAGTCAATAGAAATTGACATGTGTGAAGATTGTATACTTAGAAAGCAGAAGAGAGTCAGTTTTCAGATAAGTAGAAGAACTCCAAAGAAGGAGAAACTTGAGCTCATCCACTCCGATGTTTGGGGTCCAAGGATTGTCCCATCCGTTGGTGGGAAGTAATACTTCGTGAATTTTATCGATGATCACTCCAAAAAAGTATGGGTTTACTTTCTAAAACACAAGTCAGAAGTATTTGAAGCTTTTAAGATTTGGAAAGCTATGGTGGAAAATGAGACAGGCTTGAAGATCAAGAAGCTCAGATCCGACAATGGTGGTGAATACGTAACCACCAAATTCAAGAAGTTTTGCTATGGTCACGGGATCAGAATGAAGAAAACCATGTCTGTTACGCCTCAACACAATGGTGCATTTGAGCGTAAGAATCGAACGCTGACTGAAAGAGCCAGAAGCTTGCGTGAGAAATCAGGCCTATCAAAGCAGTTCTGGGCAGAAGCAGTCAACACAGCAACTTACTTGATCAATCGAAGTCCATTGATACAATTGGATCACAAGTTATCAGAGGAGGTATGGAGCGGAAAAGAAGTAAAACTCTCACGTCTTAGAGTTTTTGGGTGTGTAGCACATCAGTGATTAAGGTAGAACAAACTTGATCCAAAATCAAAGAAATGTACTTTCCTTGGTTATGGTGAAGATGAGTTTGGCTATCGATGTGATGATGAAAACAAAAGGATGATCTGCACCAGAGATGTCATCTTTAATGAATGAGTGATGTACAAGGATCAGCATAACACAAGTGCCAACAACTCAGAAGCGAGTGGGCCAGTTTATGTAGAGGTGGAAGATATTTCAGACATTCCCATAATAAGGAATCCTCGGTCAGAGAAATCAAATGAAGAAAGCGATGAGCAATCAGAACCTTCTACTTCAACTCTTGTATTGAGAAGGTCCTCTCGGCCCCATGTGCCTAACAGGAGGTAAATGGACTACATGTTGTTGATTGATTGAGGAGAACCTGAAGATTATAGGGAGGCTTGTCAAACCACGGATGCTAGCAAGTGGGAGCTTGCCATGAAGGGCGAGATGAAGTCTTTGATCTCAAATCAGACATGGGAACTAGTCAAGTTATCTATGGGAAATAAAACACTTCACAACAAATGGGTGTATCGGGTGAAGGAAGACCATGATGGTTCCAGGAGATACAAAGTCCGACTGGTTGTAAAAGGATCAGCAGAAAGAAGAAGTTTACTATACTGAAATCTTTGCTCCAGATGTAAAGCCCAATACGATCAGGATTGTGTTAAATATTTTGGTTAATGAAGAGCTCTACCTAGAGCAATTAGACGTGAAGACTCATTTCTTCACAAAGACCTAGATGAGGAGATCTATATGCACCAGCCTGAAGGTTTTTCAGAAAGAAAGAAGATATGATGTGCAAACTGAATACGAGCTTGTACGGCCTGAAACAAGCTCCAAGACAGTGGTATGTGAATTAGGAAGTTTGAAAGCTTCATGCACAAGGAAGGTTTCCATAAGTGCAATGCTGATCACTGTTGTTTCTTCATGAAATATGAGTCCAACTATATCATATTGCTACTTTATGTCGATGACATGTTAGTAGCGGGATCAAATATGAAAGACGTCAGAAACTTAAAGATGCAGTTGTCAAAAGAATTTGACATGAAGGACTTAGGCCCAGCAAAGAAGATTCTTGGAATGCAAATCACGAGAGATAAGTAAAAAGGAGTTTCGCAGTTATCTCAGGCAGAGCACATCAACCGTGTTTTGCAGAGATTTAACATGGACAAGGCTAAGCGAGTTAGTACACCTTTGGCTTGCCATTTTCGTCTATCCAAGGATCAGTCTCCTCAAACAAAAGAAGAGGAATAGTTAATGGCTAAATTCTTTATGCTTCAACCATTGGAAGTTTGATGTACGCGATGGTATGTACGAGACCAGACATTGGCCATGCAGTGAGAGTTGGTAGCAGGTTTATGTCAAATCCAGGAAAAGCTCATTGGGAAGCAACCAAATGGATTCTGAGATATCTTCGGGGCACAACAGAAAAATGTGTGTGTTTAGAAGATGAGATCTAAAATTACAGGGTTACGTAGATGCTGACTTTGGAGGTGAAGTTGATCCCCGTAGAAGCACCACCAGTTATGTTTTCACTGTCGGAGCTACAGTTGTTAGTTGGATGTCGCGGATAAAAAAAATTGTTGCTTTATCCACTACAGAGGCGTAGTATGTAGCAGTGACAAAATCCAGCAAAGAATTGATATGGCTTCAATGGTTGTTAGCGGAGTTGGGTTTCACTCAAAAAGAGAGTGTCTTTCACAGTGACAGTCAGAGTGTAATACATCTGGCAAAGAACTAAGTGTTTCACTCCAGAACTAAGCACATTGACATACAATATCGTTTCATCAGATCTCTTCTTGAGGATGAAGTGCTGACTTTGAAAAGATTGTAGGAAGCAAGAACCCAACAGATATGCTAACGAAGATGGTGACCATTGGCAAACTGAAGTTGTGATTAACTTCAGTTGACCTGCTAGGTTAACAGACCGAGAAGACTACTATGGTAATTGAGGTGTGAGGATAGACTGAAATCAGTCCTCAAGTGGAAAATTGTTAACTCAGCCACCAAATTTGACAAAAGAGCAGCACCAAATCCTTAAAAAATTGTAGCAGCCGGGCTGTTGTTTTTTGTTGAATAAGTGAGTACACATATGTTGAAAAAAGGTGTACTCTTCCTCTATAAACGGAGGAGCAAATTTGATGAACAGAACACAATCAAAAATACAAGAAGAAAAAAAAAGAGTGAGCTGAAAAAAATTAATTTAGCCTTTGTGTGTATTTTTGAGTTGTGAGTTAGTTTGATAATGTTTTGTAAACACGAGTGCATTTCTTTTCTCCTATAAAATATTTACAGTAGTCCGGAGACGTAGACAATTCCGTTATCAATTTGGGGTGTCCAATTTTTATTTTTTTTTATTTCACTTTTATAAATCCGACTTCATGAAAATTCAACGTATTTTTTCCAAACGATTTGAATACAAGAAGCTTGTAAAGGATGGAACTTACGAGATTAGATTTAGGAGTTAATGCAATTTTGGGAAAAAAATACTAAAATTTTGAGAGGACGACATAATTAATAACTAATAAATGGAAAAAAAAAAAAAAGAAAAATAAATAAGTAGAACAACATATATGAGGTTTGGCATTTGGGGGTGTTGTCGGGGGTTTGCTCGTCTGTTTCAAGCATTCAGACGTGTTTGGACGGATTTGTAGTTCAAATATAATAAAATAATGTATAGTGATCAGTTGTCATTTTCCCGAGAAATGGGTTTACTATCGAATGAAAGTGGGCAGAATATGGGTGCATGTGCATCTCCATTGTTATAACTTAAACTATAAAGGCTACATGTACGTTGCCATAATCTAATACCTATGGAGATTCTACGTTGCCATCATTCCGTCGTGGGTTGTAGTCGTTAGATCAATTATCAACGACGGTTACATAATGATCTAACGGTTACACAATCTCACGGAATGATTTCGTAACGGAAATGTAGCATTTATTTCTAATACTATATACATTTTTTTATTTTATTTTATTTATTGGGTTATCTTATTTAAAAATGCCAATGAATTTCTCTACCGCAACTATTGTAGAGGGAGAGTAATTTGAATTAGGAAGAAACCATTGAAAAAAATAATTAAATAAATAAATAAATAAGCTGTGGAATTAATTTTTTATAAGGTGATAATATTATGCAACTTGCAAAAGGGTAATGAGTGGCTATATTTCTTTTTCTTTTCATTGTTTTATTATACTTTTCGTGAAAGCAAATCCAATCAACTTTATTTATTTCGTCCACATATTAAAAAATCAACATGCTTAATAGTATGAACATTACAGAGATGGTTTAGACTATTATTATTATTATTATTATTATTATTATTATTATTATTATTATTATTTTTATTATTATTATTATTATTTATGATTATTAATAATTAATGGTTTGGCGAACAAAGTCAAGTGTGCAGGACTTTAAGAGTCTTATTTAAACTCCTTCGTTATCAGGCGGTTGATATCGATATTGTGTTTGTACGCTTCCCTACATCACAATCTCTATCATTCATATAAAAATGTTAATCAAGAAAATAAGACAATACGAACTGACACCATGGCACAGTGATATTAAAATTAAATACTTTTATGTTGCTTAAAATATAGACTGAGTAATTTTCTGTTAATTTTTACCCCATGCATTGTTTATAATAATAAACCCACAATGATATACTTAAATTAGTAAAATATCAATTTAAAATAGGAGCAAAAAAAATGTGCACTACACAATGATTTATAAAAAAATAAAAAAAATAAAAAGAGAAAAATACAACCATCTCAACAAAGAACCTTTTTTTCAGCTTTTACATAACCATGGGCCATGGCATTTATGTACAGCATAATGAAAAAAAAAAATAGATATTACTTTCTAGAGTCTTACTATTTTACATTTTCAGGAAAAA